CTGATGAGGGACATGAGGCTCAGACCCCTGAAATTTCATGACCAAAAATTTAAGACCAGTATGTGGCAGAGTAGAAGACAAAACTTGGGCCATCTCACCCACTCTGTGTCACTGAACCAACCAGTGATTTTTCACTCAACCCTACTCTCCCTCTTCACACAATTAAAAGATGACTCTTCTGATCTTAAGATCATTTAAAATATTAATTCTGGCACCTAATATATATGCTGTTTGTTTCTGCAAACTGTATCAATGTGTTTCTATTGATTCATCTGAACGATTGTTACATATATTGATCAGGTTCAGGACAAGATGGAACACTTTATAGCACAAGATACAATCCCATTAGGATGACCTTATTCTTTTCATTAGAGCTTCTGGAATGCTAGTATCATGATAGAATGCTATTCTGGAGCAGTTAAGTTGTTGATAAAACAGTAATTTGCTTTAATTTCACTTGCATTTTAAGCCATGCATAGAGTAATTCCACTTGCATTTTAAGCTATGCATAGAGTATTCCTCTGCAGTTTGACTATCTAGTGTACGCTCTCTGAGAAAAATGTTTATTGTTTTTTCTATGAATTTCTCTATAGGAATTACTTCATGATTCCAATGACAGTAAACGATTATGTTTTAATGTTGTTAACATATATTGGGAGTCTTTATATTCTTATATCTGGTCTATCATTTAAACTGGGGATGGAAAATATATTGAGTAACAGGTAATATACACAAACCCTGGAATTAAGTACTTTGACATGAAAGCAATAACACCACACCATTGCCGAATTTAAAGAAATTAATAAATGTTCAGATATTAAACAAATGGAATTTTTATTTATAAAAATTTATATTTTTTATTTATAAAATGAATTGGAGGTATTTAGTTTTCATGAGTTTGATAAGATAGGTGATTCTATTTGTGATCTACCTATGGAGATATTTGCAACTAGAACCCTAGGACTGCGTGTGCTGTGTGTTCATGTTTTCTTTGGCCTGCTGAAAATCAGACTCTGTGTAAGACTGCAATTGGTACTCTTGGGCCATTTTGTTGTAAGTATTACTATAAAGCCAGCTGAGAATTTTTAAATAAGTTTGGATGCCAAAATTTGATACGAAATTGTACTTGACAACTTGACTATTATAGTCAATTTTTAAATTTAATAGTATCATCTTTAATATTTTAATTGTCATCTTAAGTTTCTGGTAATCAAATTCCAAGTCAAACACAATCTAGACAGCTAAAAATTCAAGGGAAAAAGAGATACATAATTTTCAACTGTTGTGGACCATGGATTAAATATGACCTCATCTTACTTGATTATGTCTGCAAAGAAGACACTATTTCCAAATAAGATCACATTCACTGGTACCGAGGGCTTGTACTTGAACATACCTTGTTAGAGGACATTGTTTAACAGCATTTAGAAGTTGTATACTAACAGCCTAAGACAGAAGTGGGAAGAGGATTTTGGAGATACCAGCAGCTGTGATCCTTTTTGTGTTTCTTTCAAAGTCTTGACATTCGATCATCTGCTTGTACATTAGTAACCATAACCTCCAACTATTTGTGATAAGAAAGTTGTAATTTCTCTTTGGAGCATTTTTCCACTAACCTGTTGTTTCAGAAGTCTTTTTAATGAATCTTATCAGATCAGAAACCATAAACAAGTATGTTATTTGCATATTTAGTTTTATGATAAAACTGCCAAAACATTTTCCAGAGTAGCCCATGAATTGAAATCTAATGTTTAATACCTAGTTTTGTATCCTTTATAGATTTAACACTTAGGATTTATACTTTCCACAAATCACACCAAAGATTCAATATCAAATAAATGTGTAATGCTTTTGAGGCATGGATTTGAAACCCTTATTTTATAAGCCAATTTTTTTGGAATGCGTCACTTAACTAGCAGATGACCTTTAGTGGTCAGTTTAGCTTTTACATGATAGTGAAATTTTATTTTTCTTTACTCATTAACTATTATATATATTTATATATACTTTCTAGGAGTTTTTAATGTTTATTAATAAAATAATGCAGCTTAATGCTTAAAGGTATACCCAATTAATTTTGTCCTCAAATTACACCCTTAAAAAGTTCAGCAGTTGAGCTCTTGAGAGTGCCATATTAAATCTGTAACTAAATACAGGTGCTGTTTTATTGTAATACTTATGCAAGTACCATTACCTTACTGTTCTCCCTTAAAATTTGTTTCTAAATAGTTCCTTCACAATTATCCCTTGTAAACAGCTCTTGTGATAAATGTGTATCTCTAGGCAGTGGTTAGAGGGTATAGCTTCTCTAGCAGGATGAAATCAAGCATATTTATTTTTTATCTTAACTCTTATGTAATATCTCAGCTTCCACGCTCATAGCCATTGCATTTTTTCTATGATGTGTTTTTCTGCATTGCATCTGGCATTCATATTTGATTAATCCTATATAGTGTTTTACTTTTTTCATCTTCTGTTGTTTTGTTTTGTTTTTTTCCCTCATTAACTTTTTGTCTCTGTCCTCATGGTTTTATTTTGCTTTCATGGTCCTCTTGATCTCTGTGATTTCGCAGTTTACCTATAGCTCAAGAATGATTTTTTTTTTTTACAGTTGCAGAGTATATTTATGTAGATAAAACTTGGGAATCAATGGTTTTTTTTAAAGCACTTTGTGCATTTTAACTTCTAAGTAGATAATAGGTGTTTAACCTCACATATTATAGGAATCCAAAAGTTACATTTTAAAAATTAGGAAATAAATGCTAAGAAAATTTAAGATTTTTGTAAACAACCAACAGTTAACTACTGTCTTAAGCAATTACAAATAACAGATGTGATTTTCATGGGATCACTGGATGCCATCCCTTCATGAACTGGAATTGTCAAATGAACACCACACCTCACTAAGTCTTGGGGAACTAAACTCTATTCCAATGGATTGATTCTATCAAGTAAATGAAAATCTTATTTCTTTGTTAAAATGAGTCCAGTATTATGTGCACAAAAGAACTTTAATGAGTGTCAAAAGGTCTTTAATTAGTAGTACAATACCATGCATATTAAGTGAGGAACTTGAGGAAGATTTCTCAACCATGGCACCATTGACATTTTGGGCCAGATAATTTCTTAATGCAGGTAGCTGTCCTTTGTATATGGAAGTATGTTTAATAGCATCCCTGGCCTCTACGTAGTACCTGAAAGTAGCACAAACATATTTTATTTAGTTTTATTTTCTTGTATCATTTTAATCTTTGGGCTTTCTATACTTTAAGACTTTGTTGGTAAAAAATTTTGAGCCTAGGAATTCAGATAGGATTGTCTCCACTAAAAGAATCAAGTGGACCCTTTTGTCTTCCTTATTCTTTAGCTCTGCCTTAGTATGGGTGCTGAATCTTTTCTGATCTCCCCACCTTTTCAGCAAAACTTGTGGCTCTGTTTTCCATTCCTTCACAACTCCTCTGTATGATTAGTGATTTGTTACATCTTTTGATCTGAGGAGTTAATAGATGGTAATGGCTTTGTGGGTTACCCTCCCAAATTAGGTTTGAGTTAAGATAGTCTTGAGTCCGAAAACACTGGGTTGAGTGGAAAATCTTAAATTAGAATAGGGCCCTTGACAAAGATGTTTTTGGTGAAATTATTCCTTTAGTGCTCATAGCACATCATAAAGCTGAGTTTTGTTTGAGTCTACACAATGGAGAGCTTGGCTTCGAAAGATTGTAAAGTCCCTTATTTGGTTGAGATAAAGTCTAGTGTGTGATCTTACACAGTGAAGGATTGGATGAATGATGGTCTGTGGGCATTGTGAGAGTTGAGGTACGAGCTTGGTTAGGCAGATTTGAATTCCTAAGAGAATTCCTTGAGTTATCTTTGATATCTTAAATTTCTTCATCACCTAAATGCTGTCAAACTATCAGATCTCAGGAGTTCTTACTTTGAACCAGCTCCTGAATATTCCTGTCACTTCTTCACTGGGTGTTTAAACACTGAAAGACTTAGCTACTTGTCTCTCCCTCTTTCCCCTGATAGTGCCAGACTAATTGTTTTAAAGACTGGTTTTGTTGAACCACAAAATTCTACCATGTCCCTCAACACCTGGCTTCACCAGGTCTATTAAAATTTATCTCCTACTTCTAGTGAAAAGAATCTGCTTTCCAGCAGACCAAGTAGTTTTTGTTTTTGTTTTTTACTAACTTACGAATGTATCAAGCTCCTATCTGTTCTGTGCTTTTGCTATGTTTTCCACTCTTGTGTGAATTAAAATATTCCTTCTTGCCACCTAATCATATTTTTACTTAGTACCTCAGATTCAACTGAAGCCTATGACCTGCATAAGGATATACTTAAATCATTTATTCTGTATTGATCTCTATTTGCTTTCATCTGAAAGCATTGACTACAGGCAGTACTAATTTTGGCCCTTAGCAATATATGGCTTTCTTCAAAGTGGTAAGAGACAGTTTTGTGTGTATATTTTGCCTCTCCAACTAATTAATACATTTCTGGAAGGCAAGTATTTCATGCTTTTTATATTCCCTTAGCATGTGAGTATCTGCATAACAAGTAACTAGTAAAACTTATATTAATGGATGTCCAGGTACTGATTATATTCTATTTTAAAATATTGTAAAACCCAAATTAAAAAAAAAAGTATAGAAATGAATGGATATGACCATGTGTAGTCTCAGATTAAAATTAAGAAGAGTGACCTTCCTGGATGTCAGAGAAGGGGAGATGTTTTTCTTTAGGTGAGAAACTGAAAGTAGAGGTACCTTGGAGAAGGAAAATCAACTAGTGACCTGCAAAAGGAAATCTGTTTAGCTTATTTGTAATACGTATGTGAATTATGGTGCAATTAATGCCACTTTGGATGTGATGTGTGTGTCCTATAGAGCTACTGGTAGTAGAAACGAATAAATGCAAAAATAATGATTTCTGTGGATCATTAAAAAATTTCATTACAGAATTTGATCTCTATTTCCTTCTTTTCAAACACCCAGATACCTCTCATCATTGTATGGATGGACATTTGAGAGTGCTGTTGTCAAATGCTTGCAAGCATGGAAACTTCATCAATGCTGTCCTCGTTGAATGATGAGTGTAAATCAGACAATTACATTGAGCCTCACTACAAGGAATGGTATCGAGTAGCCATTGATGCACTAATTGAACATGGGTTAGAAGCATACCAAGAATTTCTTGCCAAGGAACGAGTATCAGACTTCCTAGCTGAAGAAGAAATTAATTATATTTTGAAAAACGTCCAGAAAGTTGCACAAAGTACAGCACACAGCACTGATAACTCCTATGATGATACCTCATCTTCAGGGACTTACTGGCCCATTGAGTCTGATGTGGAAGCTCCAAATCTTGACTTAGGCTGGCCATATGTGATGCCTGGACTCTTGGGAGGCACCCATATAGACCTCCTCTTTCATCCACCAAGAGCACAGTTACTTACAATTAAGGAAACTATTCGGAAGATGATCAAAGAAGCAAGAAAGGTAACATTTCCATTTCTAAATGAAATTTTTCTTTTAAATGGATTTTTTTCATTGAAATATAGTTGATACACAATGTTACATTAGTTTCATGTATATTACATGGTGATTCAACAAGTCTGTACCTTATATGGTGCTCACCACAAGTGTAGTTACCATCCATCACCATGCAAAACTATTATAATGCCATTGACTATATTCCCTATGTTGCACTTTTCATCTCTGTGATTTATTCATTCCACTCCAAAGGAAAACCATGAAACATGTGGAAAAGGCACCAAAGTAGTATAACATATGTATGTTAAAAGAACCTCTATATTTGTGGGCCATGCCTATTATTCTCAGAAAAATATAATATGAATACATAGAGTTGTACTTCCCGTATCTTGTGTATACTTAACAGAGCAATAGGCCCCTGCTACAGGAGATTTCCTTCTCTTCTCATACCTTCTTCTGCCTGTTGAAGGCTAAGGTGTATGAACTGGCAACAAGATGACATGATACATTCATTGAGTTCAAAGCTCTTACATTTTCCTTAATCTCTGAAAGGAAATATATCATCGGTAAATCTGGTGAAATTTTTTATGTATTCAAAAGGACTGAGCCCTAATTCTTTCTCTGAACATCATTTATGCTATTAAATAAACTGTAGATTTATTTATTTTCTCACTTGTATGGAAATGGTATAAAATCAGGTATGACAATGTAAAATTCTGAGGTAGGGTCCTGAGGGACTTAGCATTTTATGGCCTCTGTGCTGTTTATTAAATATTTATATTGGCTTATAAATCTCAGAAATTCTATTTTAGGGCTCAAATAAAACTGTAGAAGTTTTCTTTTAATCAATCAAATAAAAGTTATTGAACGTTTTTTAGGTACTCAGTACCATGATAGACAATTTTGAGAATCCAAAAAATTACCTAAGCTGTTTATTGAACTCAACCTAGAGTTTTAAAAATGGATGGATAAGGAGTTACAATTTTTCACTGTGTCTATTTCTCATTTACGGAAACCATGCAATATAGAAATGTAGATCTAAAAGGGACCTGAGCATCCACACATACATGACATTGCTTTATTTCATGTCACCAAGACCCAGAAATGCTTCAAAAGCTTGCTTTTATGAAGTACAGAAATATAAGACCCTTGAAATTTGCAGTGAAATTGTAGTTTGCAAGGTAGGCAACTAAAAGCCTCGCAGTCATGTTAGGGAGACACAATGTTCTAAGACTAATGTCAAATGTAGGCTTTGCAAAAGTAAGGCAACTTTTTTTCCTCAAACATTTTGCACTCAAATAACCTGGCTTTTAGCCATGAATTTAGGAGTATTACATTAAAGAAAGTGCTAATCTACTCCACTTGTTAAAAATTAGCTACAGAATCAGGCACATGGTAGGTGTCCAAACTTATTGAATGAATTAAACTGTCGGTTCAATTTTCTGAATTGTACCATGACTGTTTTCAATACTGCACTCTCTATACTCTGTGGACACATCCTACAATTGTATTTTATAAAGCAATAGCATGAAAGTCAAGAATATATATGAATCCTTGCGAAGGTAGAGTAACAAAAAGCAAGTAACATACCATTTGCTAATTTCTGTTCCAGGAGGTAGTATGATTTTGAACTGTAATAGTAACTTAAAATTTAAAAATACATCAGTGAAGATTAATGTTATTATGGTAAATTTAGTTATGAATTCATCAGCCTACAACACAGCTAGTTTCCTTTGGAGCGTTGCATTTCTGTGATGCAAAGTGAAATTCAGGAGCTATCGTAAGTTCTTGAGCTAGCACTCACTGGAAACTGAACATTAGTCATGAGCATTTGATGTGTTTTTCTTTCTAATGTGGCAGCTATTTATTTAGTGAGCCTGTAAAAAATATCCTTGCCTGGTCATCATCTGCTGGGAACTCCCACTTGAATTGGCAAGATGAGGAACGTGAAGTTCATACTGTAAAACAGTGATCTAATGTTCTGCTTCTCTTCCACAAAATCAAAATAGCATGGAATAAGAAAGAGAATTTTACCTTTATTTGATTTAGTGTGTACATACCCAGACTGAATTAAAAGAAAGAGAAATATTTGAACATTGTGAATTGAGTATATTGTGATTGGATATAAATCATACCAGATAACTTAGTGTTTTGTTTTCCAAAAGTATTGGAGAACATTTTAATTTCTACCCAGATGTGTTAAATATTGAAGTCCGGTGGCCTATTTATGTACGTAATGTGTATTTCTCTAGTGTTTTTGGAAATATCTTTGTGTGTCATTATGAATGTTTAAATATTTTTGAAGAATCTAGTACTCCAGGAATAAAAAACTTATTGACCCCATGTTTACAAAATGTTGCGTTATTTAGCCCATAACTGTAAAAGGTCTTGTGAAAAAAAAATTAAGAAGAGAAAATATTATTTTTAAGTAAAAGCTTATCAGAACACATTGCTTTGTAGATTATGTGTAGTGTTCATGACTGTCATTTACTCAGCAGATAAGTCAGGTTCTTATATTCTTCAGATTCAAAGGAAATTTACTAGTTATCAGGATCAAACTTTTATTTTCAAACTATTTTCAGAAGAAATTCTCTTTATTGAATAACTCTCAATGAATTGTCATTGCATTATGAAGAGGATGATTTTTTTCCCATAAAGTGAGTAATGTTTATTTTAATGAATAGAACACATTTTCCTGCCTTCAGATTTCTTAGGAACATTGTTTAGGTAATCAACATAATGAAACTATTGAGATATGAAGCCAAACAAGTAGGGCTAACAAAGCAGGACCCAAGAAGAATGATCTTGGAGAAGAATTTAAGTCTGTTTTCACTGTTCTGTTTGCAATTGACAGAAGGTAATTATGAAAATAAATGTCATATTATGGAAAAATCATATTATGGAAAAAGTAGTGAAAAGAATCCAGAAGCACTTTTTTTAGAGGTCCAAACATTAGAAGTCTGATTACCAAATAAACCTTCTAGTCCCCTGAGAAAGGGAATAAAAATGATACTATATAACATCTATCTTTACTGGAAATATTTTTGTTTTTAAATTTTACTGATTTCTATGCTCTTGTCTCTAAAGTCACAAGTCTCTGAATCACTCTTTTATAAGCAGAAGATACTCTTTATAGTATTTCAAAAATCCATTGATTTGTTTTTGTTTATTCGTTTTTATTTTTGCCAGTTGTCACTTAGAAGTTGTATAGAGGGTTTTTTAGTTTGTTTTCTTGTTTTTTCCTTTTGTTTGTTTTTTTTTCTTTGTACGTCTGCTTATTTTATTATTAAATAATTCTCCTTTGGGAAAATCCAATTACAAATAACTTCTTACTTGTGCCCTTTGAAAAGGGCCATCTTTTTATTTACTGGCTCTTTTTTTCTAACTCTTTCTTATATTTTTCCATATGTGGTTGCCGTAATTACATTTGGGTCGACTTTATATAGTCTGATAACGTCTAGCAAAACTTTTCCCAGGTAATTACTTGTCTCTCAAGAGGTGTTCCCAAGATGATATATGCATGTATTCCTAATTACTGTGAACACCTCTTATGAAAGTATCCTCTCTAATTACTTTAAAAAGTCATCTTTCATTAAAGTAATTTTTCTTCAAGCTACTCAGTGGTGGATATCCATAAAGTTCTAGTTTCTGATGGTCTTGAATATGTGCTTAATCAGAATGCTATTTTCATCTGTTTCCTTCTAGGCTAGCTTCTTCTGTGAGGTCTGACTCTTAATCTTCTGAAATAGGGACTGAGAAGACACATAAGCAAGAGTCTAGTGAGAATTAGGGCAAAGAAGTTCCTGAGGTGTTCTTTACTGCCTCTCTTGAGTCATTGTTTTTGGGTGTGGCTGTTATGGCCTGGGGAGCTATTAGTAATACAGAGAAACATTAACCACCAATTGGCCCATGGCCACAAATGGGAAGGTGAACAGATGATTGGGCTTTTCCTAGGATTTGCGGGCATTATAAAGGTAGTATAGACTAGAGGCTCTACTATCAGGGGCCTACCACTAACTAGTTAGAGACTGAACAAGTCATTGTACTTCCCCAGGTATCTTCATTTATGTAGTGAAAGACATGAAGCAAAGCCTTTTAGTATTTTTTTTTAAATCTAATGTTCCTATCCAGATCTCTAAGAGTGCTTACCAATTCAAGATTATTTCAATATGTTGTACTCCTTGCTGAATTAGTCCAGTACATGAATATTTTTGGGTGTGGCCTAGTGTGTCACTTCCATCTGTATGACTTTGCGATTATATCCTGCCCAACTAAGTGATATTGATGTATATATCAGTGCCTTTATTGGGCCAGTACCATCACTCTCCTGATGTTCCCAATTTACTCTCTGGGATGCCAGGGTGGCTCAGTGGTTGAGTATCTGCCTTTGGTCCAGGGCATGATCCTGGAGTCCCGGAATCAAGTCCCATGTCAGGCTCCCAGAATGGAGCCTGCTTCTCTCTCTGCCTGTGTCTCTGCCTCTCTCTCTCTGTGTCTCTCATGAATAAATAAAATCTTAGAAAGAAGAAAAAAAGAAAGAAAGAAAACTTACTCTCTGCCCTTTCTGTTGCACCTCTCCCTGTGAATACTTTCATTCTTTGAATTGGAGTCAACGTAAGTTTTTTTCCAGGAAATTTTTTTTGCTAAGTCAGATTTAATGACTTTTTTTTTATCCTGTGACATTAATTTGAATATCTCTTCTCTAAGTGAAATGTATTACATGTTCATACACACACACACACACATTTGTGTGTTATGTGTATATGTGGGAGAGAGAGAGAGAGAGAGATGTCTTATTAAAATTGCACTGGCTTTGCTATGCTAACTGTTGCTGTGTCTGTATGGGAATACTCTCATATATTTTGAGCTCCTTGTGCTTTATAGGAAGGTAACACATTTCACATTTTTCTCAGTTCATTTACCTACTTCCTTTGTCCTACTCTGCAGTAACTCTGTTGACATTAAGTATATGATTTTTAGCACAACTGCTTAAGGGAGAGGAGGGA